AGCTGAAGTTTGCCTAATAAAAGTGCAAAAATGCATCTGTATTTGTCACGATGTGTATTTGGTAAATGTGCACAGGCTAAATCCCACTGCAAAACCAGTAAGAGAATGTAACTCCAGTTTGGAATCTGAAAAAAAAAAACTGCTTTAAAAATCCTATACGCTTTCTTCACTTTTTTCTTTCACGTTTTTTTGGACCCTCACCCACAGTTTTAGTACAACACAGTTTGCAGCGAACATTTTGTATGTGGAGCCATCAAAGCAAAATCCCGATCCCTCACTCAACCTCGGTTACGAATTTAAAAAGTCAACGTCAAAGTGAAAGGCACCAACTTTTCACTAAGAAACACCTTCCACTGCAAAGAGACCAAGACTTAATGTTGCTGTAAAACCACAAGAACAAGAAAGTGCGAGCTCAGCCTGTTTGTCTTCTGCACCTCTCGCTTAACAAACGGGATTTTGCTTTGATGGTGCTCCATATACAAAATGTTTGCTGCAAACTCGGGATGATTTCTTAGGCAGCCAAAGGTTTCTTTTTTGTCCTTCCTCTGGATCAATCCTGCCCATCGCCTTCGCCTTTCACTATTTTTCAATTCCGTTGGGAAGGGAAACGGTTTGAACAGAGGTTTGCAGTCACACAGATCTGATTCCCTTTTGCATTTATGGAGTTTGCAGCCGTTTTCCGGTGTTAGGACATCCAACAACCACATAATTACGATGTCCGAATCCCAAAACTAAAATATGACAATATCAGAATCAAAAAAACCCAAAGTGATATGGTTCAAAAGACTTGAAAAGAATGACTTTGACAACAGACACATCCCACTGGGAAAACAAACATGGCGGTTTGATGCTCACTTTTTCGGAAAATCCTTCCCAGTATGCATTGCGCAATGACCGGAAGTCCAAAATTCATGATGCATCTGTTAATCACATTTTACTTATTCAGCACAATACATAAAATTCAGAAATCCCTTGGCGAGCTACTTGGAAGTGGGTGGAGAGCTGCTGGTATCTCCTGAGCTACAGATTGGAGACCCCTGACATAGAAAAATAGGCATTTTGACTGTGAATGGGGTCGCCTCTCCACAGATCTGACCTGTAACTTAGTCTGGTTTGGTCTCCATGAGGATAGAAACGTTTAATGTCATACTGTGAAACATTCCAGACAAAGGAATTGACAGACCCTCCACCAGAAAAGTTATGCAATGCACCTAAAAAGAAATGTATATTAAAAAAAAATCAGTAATTATCCATTCTTAATCAATAACCATTTCTCCAAAGTGATTATTCCTGTTTTTCTTGTGAACCTGTTTTCCGTGGTGACCTGCCGTAGCTCCCTCCCCTCTCTTCCTGTGCAAGTCTCACCTCCCTCTGTCCTTGGATCCACCGGTGTGTGATACCTGCACCAGACCTGAGCCAACCTGAGCCGACTCCACTTTCACTGCTGCTCTGGGCCCTTCACAATAAGAGCGCCGCTTCAACCTAATCTCCTGCCGACACCGCTGGCTCTCCAATCCAAATAAACAGTTTCTAAAGTGATGCACAAATACATAATAATAACAACAATAAGAAAATGATAAAATAAACGCTCAGATTTAATCATGCTAGTTCTAAAACAATAAAAGCAGTAAAATAAAATATAAGCAAAACTACAGAATAGCAATACATAAATAAATAAAACCAATAAAATACATAAAAAATAAATAAATAATACATAAAAAAATACAAATAAAAATAATAAATAAATAAATAAAAATAAATAAATACATAAATAATAAATTAAAAAATAAAATAAATAAAAAAATAAAAAATAAATAAATAAAATAAATTTAAAAAGACAGAGAAAGCCCAGTCCCAGTGATTTTAAGTCCTCATTTTAGGCGGGGGTGTAAATTTGAAGGAACCTGAGATGTACTGTGGGGCCAGTCCATTCAAAGCTTCAGAAACAAACAATAAAATCTTCAAATTAATTCTAAAATTAACGTGCCACAAAGACAAACTGCATTCTGTAAAGTGCGTTTTGTTAGACACCAAAATAAAGTGCGTTACAGTCGTGAAATAAAAGCGTGCACGACTTGTTCAAGAAGTTTAAAAGATAAAAAAAGGTTTAACTTTGGACAAAAGCCTCCAAAATGTTGTTGAAAGAAGTAAATATTTATTTTGGCCCACGACTTAATTTTGGCCTTCTGTGAATTTGAGTAATAAATAAATAAATAAAAGACACAGAGGAGCACACAACTCTCACAGTCCATTCAAAGCTTTAAAAACAAAAAATAAAATCTTAAAATAAATTCTAAAATTAACATGTCACAGAGTTTTTAGTCGGCAAAGTGCATTTTGTGGACGCTGCTCAGCCTAAATATGCACGATTTGTGTGTTAAACAAACAACAAAACACGACTTCAGGTCTGTTTGTGATGAGGAAACTACATTATAACATAAACATAAAATGACCTTTCAAAATATTGTTTATTTAAAGCCACAATATGTAACCTTTTAGCCAAAAAATGACTAAAATATAAAGCAAGTTGTTTCATTTTGGTTGCCTTTATTGCACTGAATAATGTTTCTATAGGTTTACTACTTTTGACATTTTATTTTATACATGAAGACATTAAATATATGTAGTAAGATGGATGGAATTATATAGCTACACATGATATTTTTGAATATTTTATAACCAAATTCTCAAATTAGCACTATAAAATGTAAAAACTGGTAAAACTGAATGAGACTTGTTAGAATTGTTATGATAAATTCTAAATAAGTAGCAAAAATACCAAGTGTCTGATGTCAAATAAGATATAATTATATTAATGTATAAATACAAGTAAAAATTTAAATATAGAAATGAAGTAATCCAGAAATATATCTCTCTGTATATACAAGAAGTCGTAAGGAAAACAAAGATAAAGCGAAGAAGATATGATGATTGACAGGACATAAGGTTATCTGTTACATAAGAGTGAGTTGTTGTAAAGTTGAGTTGAAAGAGGGTGTGTTTAAACTTTTAGACCTGTGTGATAGCAAGGGCGTAGCTTTGGTCTCAGCTGGTAGTTTACTTGATTAACAGATTAATTATATAATATTGTTTACTTTTTGTATGATGCACACTGCAAAAACCAAACAGCACATCTTAATAAGAAAGGGTAAAATGGGATCAGAAGTTGCGTTTATGTTTTATGAATTCTTTCCAAAAACACACAGAGTCTGGGCAGGTCCAAAATAAGTGAGAGGTGGTTTCATTTTTCAGTTCAAAAAATTTATTTATAAGGGAAGCCCCTTGAGATGTAGAATCTCGTTTGTGAGAGGGTCCTAAATAGATGCATCACGAATCTCGGACTTCCGGTCATCGCGCAATGCATACTGGGAAGGATTTTCTGAAAAAGTGAGCATCAAACCGTCATGTTTGTTTTCACAGTGGGATGCGTCTATTGTCAAAGCCGATTTCTTTTGAACCATATTACTTTTGTTTCTGGTTCTGATATTGTCATATTTTACTTGTGGGATTTGGACATCGTAATTGTGTGGTTGCTGGATGTCCTAACAGTGGAAAACGTCTCGAGAAACGGGCTTCGGAAGTTTGCGAACTCCATAAATGCAAAAGGGAATCAGATGTGTGTGACTGCAATCCTCTGTTCCTTCCCAACGGAATTGAAAAATAGTGAAAGGTGAAGGCGATGGGCAGGATTGATCCCTGGAAGGACCAAAAAGAAAACTGAACGTTTTGTATGTGGAGCGCCATCAAAGCGGGATCCCGTTTGTTAAGTGAGAGGTACAGAAGACAAACAGACTGAGCTGCACTTTCTTGTTCTTGTGGTTTTACAGCAACATCACGTCTTGGTCTCTTTGCAATGGAAGGTGTTTCTTGATGAACAGCTGGTGCCTTTCGCTTTGGCATTGACTTTTTAAATTTGTAACTGAGGTGGAGCAATCAGGATTCATCGGATTGAGCAGGGTAAGTTGTTCCATTCATTTGGAGCTCAAGACACCATCTTCAGGTGCGGCCCTGTCCTGCCGCTTCCCCAATTTATGCTCCTGGCTCCACTAATGACATCACTCTGTTGTAACCATGTCATCATATCACTGAACACATCTCAGAATGTCTAATAAACAAAATCTGAACTGAAATGTGTTAAATTAATAGTACTGAGTTTCGAAAAATATCGGAATAAATTTATCTGTTTGTTTATTAAAATAAAATGTCAAATATTGATAGAGACTATTTTGTCTTCCCCGCATATTGGTTGTGACTTCCGGTTTAGATCCAGTTTAGACCTGGTTCATTTCTGGTTTAGTCCTGATTTAGTTCTGGTTTAGTCCTGTTTTAGTTCTCGTTTAGTTCTGATTTAGACCTGGTTCAGTTCTGGTTTAGACCTGGTTTAGTTCTGGTTTAGTTCTGGTTTAGACCTGATTTAGACCTGGTTTAGACCTGGTTTAGACCTGGTTCGTTCAGGTTTAGTTCTGGTTTAGACCTGGTTCAGTTCTGGTTTTGTTCTGGTTTTGTCCTGGTTTAGTCCTGGTTTAGTTCTGATTTAGTTCTGGTTTAGATCTGTTTCAGTTCTGGTTTAGTCCTGATTTAGACCTGGTTTAGTCCTGGTTCAGTCCTGGTTTAGTCCTGGTTCAGTCCCGGTTTAGTCCTGGTTTAGTCCTGATTTAGACCTGGTTTAGTCCTGGTTTTGTCCTGATTTAGTCCTGATGTAGACTTGGTTTAGACCTGGTTTAGTCCTGGTTTAGTTCTGGTTTAGTGTACACAGTAGCTCACACATCACAATATATTCTAACAAATAAAATAGAAAAATAAATAATAAAATATAAAATCCCAGCTTCATAAATATTCCTTTTACTGTATTATTATTATTATTATTTTTTCTCAGTTTAATTTTCTACAGTATATCTGAGCTGCACTTGTGTTTGTGTTGGCTCTTTTCTCTCTTTTATTTTGTAGGAGCTGGCTCCGCCCCCTCTCGCGTGGCCCCTCCCCTCTCCGAGCTTCACCGCTCCTCATCAATGATTCACTTTGTTGTGGACGACCTTCGTTTGGCTCTGGGGACTTTAAAGACACGCTGATCCCGGAGAAGGCTGCAGTCTGCTGGGTCTGACAGAGCCGCTCTGCCCACACAAACACAGGTGAGTCTGGAAAACACAAAAATACTACTACTACTACTACTACTACTACTACTACTACTACTACTACTACTATCTGCTTAGCTTTATCCGTGTTACTCCATACATATTTCACATTGCTTCATACATGTTTTTATATATATATATTATGTATTATATATATTTTGTTGACATCAAAGTTGATGATTTTTTTAAGTTTTAAGGTCTAAACCAGGACTAAACCAGGACTAAAACAGGTCTAAACCAGGACTAAATCAGGACTAAAACCAGGACTAAACCAGGACTAAATCAGGATTAAAACCAGGTCTAAGCCAGGACTAAATCAGGACTAAAACCAGGTCTAAACCAGGACTAAATCAGAACTAAAACCAGAACTAAACCAGGACTAAATCAGGATTAAAACCAGGTCTAAACCAGGTCCAAACCAGGTCTAAACCAGGACTAAATCAGGATTAAAATCAGGACTAAATCAGGACTAAAACCAGGTCTAAACTAGGACTAAACCAGGACTAAACCAGGACTAAATCAGGACTAAAACCAGGTCTAAACCAGGTCCAAACCAGGTGTAAACCAGGTCTAAACCAAGACTAAACCAGGACTAAACCAGGACTAAACCAGGTCTAAACCAGGACTAAATCAGGACTAAAACCAGGTCTAAACCAGGTCCAAACCAGGTGTAAACCAGGTCTAAACCAAGACTAAACCATGTCTAAACCAGAACTAAACCAGGACTAAACCAGGTCTAAACCAGGACTAAATCAGGACTAAAACCAGGCTGAAAACACAAAAATACTACAATACTACTACTACTACTTCTTCTTGCACAGCTTTATCCATATTACTCCATACATATTTCACATTGCTTCAAACATGTTTTAATATTTTGTTGACTTTAAACTTGAATGATTTTTAAAAGTTTTCTAATGCCACTTTCAGTACACTTTTCATTTAGAACATTTGTCATATTTCAGAGATTACTTACGACTATAACTTGTAGCGCTGTCATGATACTAACATTGATACTAACTTATATAAAATATCTTTATTGTAATTGTAAAAGATACAACAAAATGAAGTAACTTGATTTTGATACTAAGGAATAGACTTGATACTCAATAGTAATCCGGATGATCATAAAACACTTTATTTAGATAATAGAATGTGATTTTCAGCGTTAAATCATAGTATTTTCTTTTCTATTCCCATGTGGGCAGTGTTGGGGAGTAACAGATTACATTTACCAGAGTTACGTAATCAGAGTACAAATTATTATTAAATTATTAACTGTATTCAGTTACAGTTACTGTTTCAGTGAGTGGTAATTAGATTATTTTGTTGAAATAAATGGATTACACAGCAGTATTTTCCTGTTTTCACATTTTGGGCTATATCCCCCTTTTTTTTTTTTTTGGTAATTCCACTCATTGTGGGACACTTAACCAGGTCTAAACCAGGTCTAAAACCAGGTCTAAACCAGGTCTAAAACCAGGTCTAAACCAGGTCTAAACCCTGGTCTTAACCAGGTCTAAACCACGTCTAAACCCAGGTCTAAACCAGGTCTAAACCCAGGTGCAAACCAGGTCTAAACCAGGTCTAAACCCAGGTGCAAACCAGGTCTAAACCAGGTCTAAACCAGGTCTAAACCAGGTCTAAACCAGGTCTAAAACCAGGTCTAAATCCAGGTCTAAAACCAGGTCTAAACCAGGTCTAAACCAGTTCTAAACCAGGACTAAACCAGGGCTAAACCAGGACTGAACAGGTCTAAAACAGGACTAAAACAGGACTGAACCAGGTCTAAACCAGGATTAAACCAGGACTAAACCAGGACCAAAACCAGGTCTAATCCAGGTCTAAACTATGTCTAAACCAAGACTAAACCAGGACTAAACCAGGACTGAACAGGTCTAAACCAGGACTAAATCAGGACTAAAACCAGGTCTAAAACCAGGTTTAAACCAGGTCTAAAACCAGGTCTAAACTAGGTCTAAACCAAGACTAAACCAAGGTCTAAACCATGTCTAAAACCATGTCTAAACAGACCGTGTTTCCTCCTTTTCTATCCAGACTGGACTTTTCATTGTCTTTTAGCAGACAAAACAGAAGATATCCTAGTCTTTGAAAAAATGAAAAAACTAATCATTATCTGTTTTTTCATTTTGGTTTTGGAGACAAATAATGAAGAAAACTGTTTTCGTTTTCTTATTTTTGGTTTTATATTGAAAAATGAATGAACGACTGATACACGGATTAGGAAAGGTTAAATTCTGTCCTGTGAATGTGACTTTTCAGCGTTGACATTGTTTTGACAAGCTGGTAAAACTGGTAAGATTACGTGTTATGACTAAGCAATGAGAAAATGAGGTCGTTTTACAAAAAATCTCAGCTTTAATCCATGTTTGGTGAAGAAAAGAGGTAGAGCTCACTTTTACATTTTTCAGTAAAGCCAACAGTCTGTTAAAATCTGTGTATTATTCGTTCATTTGTTTTTCAATATAAAATCAAAAATAAGAAAACGAAAAAACAACTTTCTCCAAAAGCAAAATGAGAAAACGGATAATGATTTTTTTTTTTTTTTTTCGATTTTGTGTTTAAATGAATAATGGAGAAAGCGGATAACAGCCGTTTCCTGGTTTCGTGACTTAAACTGTGATGCCGGACTGAACTAAACCAGGACTTAACCAGGACTGAAACAGGACTAAACCAGGACTAAAACAGGACTAAAACAGGACTGAAACAGGACTGAACCAGGACTGAAACAGGATTAAAACAGGACTAAGACATGACTGAACCAAGACTAAAACAGGACTAAAACAGGACTAAACCAGGACTGAACCAAGACTAAAACAGGACTAAAACAGGACTAAACCAGGACTGAACCAGGATTAAAAACAAAACAGGACTAAAACAGGACTAAAACAGGACTAAAACAGGACTAAAACAGGACTAAACCAGGACTGAACCAGGACTAAAACAGGACTGAACCAGGACTGAAACAGGATTAAAACAGGACTGAACCAGGATTAAAACAGGACTAAACAGGACTAAAACAGGACTAAACAGGACTAAAACAGGACTAAACCAGGACTGACTAAAACAGGACTAAACAGGACTAAAACAGGACTGAACCAGGACTGAAACAGATTAAAAAGACTGAACCAGGACTAAAACAGGACTAAAACAGGACTAAACCAGGACTAAAACAGGACTAAAACAGGACTAAACAGGACTAAAACAGGACTAAACCAGGACTGAACCAGGACTAAACTAAACAGGACTAAACCAGGACTGAAACCAGGACTAAAACAGGACTAAACAGGACTGAACCAGGACTGAAACAGGATTAAACAGGACTAACAGGATTAAAACAGGACTAAACCAGGACTAAAACAGGACTAAAACAGGACTAAAACAGGACTAAACCAGGACTGAACCAGGACTAAAACAGGACTAAAACAGGACTGAACCAGGACTAAAACAGGACTGAACCAGGACTAACACAGGACTAAAACAGGACTAAAACAGGACTAAAACAGGACTAAACCAGGACTGAACCAGGACTAAAACAGGACTAAAACAGGACTGAACCAGGACTGAAACAGGATTAAAATAGGACTGAACCAGGACTAAAACAGGACTAAAACAGGACTAAACCAGGACTAAAACAGGACTAAAACAGGACTAAACCAGGACTAAAACAGGACTAAACCAGGACTGAACCAGGACTAAAACAGGAATAAAACAGGACTGAACCAGGACTGAAACAGGATTAAAACAGGACTGAACCAGGATTAAAACAGGACTGAACCAGAACTAAAACAGGACTGAACCAGGACTGAAACAGGATTAAAACAGGACTGAACCAGGATTAAAACAGGACTGAACCAGAACTAAAACAGGACTAAAACAGGACTAAACCAGGACTGAACCAGGACTAAAACAGGAATGAACCAGGACTAAAACAGGAGATTTCAGAAGTGATTAGATTTGTGATTTATGTTTTAGTAACAAGATTCTGTTCCAAGTTCACGTTTTAAGCACGTCCAGAAGAACTGACAGGAAAAAAAGATGAAAATACTGAAATATGACTGGACAAGCCAATACAAGAATCACATTTCAGAACATGTTGCCGCAAATCTGAACTACAGAGTGAGCAGCTTTTACACAGATAAGACCCCATGGAGACACTGGGAGGGCATCTGACCCACGGGGACACTTCAGAATGTGTTTGTAGACGTCGAAACTACAGGGTTGGTAGTTTTTGCGGTGAATAAGATGAGGTTTGCAAATTTTTGCCCATTCAAATTGTGATTTCGATTCAATAGTGATTAATCTTGCAGACCTACTATAAGACTCAGGTTTTATCTGTTACATAAGGCTGAGTTATTGCACAGTTGTAGGGAGTATTATCTGTTACATAAGAGCAAATTGTTGTACAGTTGTAAGGAGTATTATCTGTTACATAAGGGTGAGTTGTTGTACGGTTGTAGGGAGTATTACCCTTTACATAAGGGTGAGTTGCATTGTTATAGGGAGTATAGGGGTGTGCAAAAATATTGAAATATCGATATATCATATTGTTTAATTTGATGATATAGTATTGATATCATGGGCTGCTGTCTCAATATATTGATTTTTCTAAATTATTTTGTGTAAGAGCTACAATTGTGTTGACATTTTCACTGTTTTGTTGAGTAAAATGGGTGATTTTCATATTAACTCTGCACAAACTTAGTAGACTTAGTAAACTTTTAGTATCAGCCATGATTTAGTCTTTGTTCTTAACACAGGAACTGCAAGACAACCAAAAACAACAGGCCTAAATAAAACAGACTTGCTAACATAAGAACAGCCTAATGTAGTCTGGTTTACAGCAAGGACTAACAAAAATGCACATGAATAAACGATTGTTGAACCAAATACAATCAAAGCAATAACTAAATGGATTATTAAATCTCTGTTACCAAATTGCCCTTAAAAGTTATTTTAGTCGTTGACTTACATTG